TCATTCACTTACATAATACACATTTATGACACTAAACTAAAACAAAACTTGATTTTTTTTTTACGTGACTATTAGTGATAACCAACAAGTGTAAATTTAAAGTAAGTGGAATGTGTAAGAGAAAATAGTTGAGTATTAAGCTTAATAAGAAAATAAACTTGATATTTATAATAATCTATAGAATGAAACGTTCGTCCAGTGCTTCCAGGTTTTCCATGGTGATCTAGCTTCATTTGACTTATGATCTCAACTGTTGAAATTACTACAATCTCAACAAAACCCCTTCTGATACTAATCAACTAGTGAATGGCTTCAAAAGATATATACTAGAGTTCTAATGAAAAGCAGCGACCAGTGGAGTTCAACCGGGTCAGTTGTGAGATAGTAACTCCCTGAGGACAATGGCGGATGTGTAGTTCAATTTTGTGCATTAGCTGAAGTTAGATATTAACATCGTTGGATGCTGACTCAGTGATCTAGTTGGTTAAGCGCGAGACTGATAGGTTCAGTGTCGTGGATGCGCACTTCTGAGGAGTTTCACAATAGGATGAAATGACCGTCCAGTGCTTCCAGGTTTTCCATGGTGGTCTAGCTTCAATTGACTCATGTTCTCAACTGTTGAAATTACTACAATCTCAACAAAACCCCTTCTGATAATAATCTATATGTTAGCTACAGTTACCGAATAAGTAGTAATATATGTTTAGTAGTCTATTTAAAAACAGTAAATTTATCAGTTCTCCGTTACTATAGTGTTTATATCTAAACTAATGACTATTACATATGTAAAACAAAATCGTAAGGTTGAACATTTTTGAAATAACACTGTTTTAGAGTTTATTAAAAAAATATTGAACACTTTGAAACAACTGTTATAAGAATGACAAGTTTGTCTAGATTGCTCTGTTTAAAGATAGTTCATATTACTCAATGGGATCACCTAAAAAACTAATAGAAACCATGAAATACTGAACATCTGTTTCATTCTTGTATGAGATTCTTCAGTATTGAGAACATATAACCTAATTAAGATTCAAATGCAAGATTTTAAAATTTTGTAGTGATCAGATCGGTTTTAACATGTCCAAATGACAATAATAACAATTGACAGCTGAAGTGAAATTGAATTAATTGTCCCACTAAACTTTAATAGCCTAAATCTTGGTACTAAGGGAAGAATTCGTAAAAGAAATGTGATTTTTGACTAGATTTTGTAATCGATTCAATATTAGATTATATATATATTGTACTTTCTTCAGTGGGTAACTGCCTCACATCGCTTCTCTAGAACGAAATGGCCATCCAATATTTCCAGGTTTTCAGTGGTGGTCTAACATTGATCGGTTCATGATTTCAATAAAAGTCAACAATCTCCACAACCACAAAGTAAAATTAATTTCAACTAACTTGGAAAATATCGATTTTACTAAGTAAGCTTATAGAAATTAGTACTCTGAGAGATGTACAAGTAAACTGGTTTTATGGGAATTACAGGTACGACAGCGACCAACCAATTCAAGTATGTATAGTTTCCAGAATAGAATTCGAACATGGAGCATAATGATTTTGTTCCTAATTTTCTACTCGATTGATACAAATATCTGGTTCAATAATTTTTATCGTTATATTATGAATGGATATTAATTCTTCAAATACTAAATATATAATGTTTATCTATCTAACGTTCTGTCAGGTTTGTTTCTTAATTGAATTATACCAAGTTAAAGAATTGTATACATTAGCATTTGGATAAGTTATTAATTAGCACGCCTCTCTTAAGTGGGCTTTCATCTCAGTTCCAATGAAGACTAACAAGAACACACAATTTACAAATACAATCTTCCTAAAATGAAAATCATTATTTCCAACACATACCGAGTTAGAAGGTGTGAATTCCTAGAGATCATTCCATTAGGTGATTTGTACGTCGTGGAAGATAAGATGTATATACAAGCTATTTAACTTAGTTCAGTACTTAATTTAAATGAAAATCTAAAAAAGCAGACAAAAACTGATATGTCTTGTTGGAACTTCATTACTGATCAAGACCTTAGTACATATTGATGAGGTGAAAATTACAACTATGAGTCGTTTCTGTGTAATATGCTTCAAATAAATTTAAGCTGTGAAATACGTAACTTAACATTCCTTTTCAAAAAATATTGTTTGTCATGTGTAATCATGGTTAGATCAATTTGGTTTAATCTATGATTCCTATCTTGTTGATTTGGTAGGCAATACTGTGGTAAGCGTTACTGATGTCGATAAACATAAGTACTATGCATCACCAATCGAAAGTTATATACCTGGAGGTTGAAGTTTGGGAAAATAGAAAAGAGGATAACGAGAACAGAGAATGATTGGTGTGCATGTGAATGAACAATCAAGTCTGAGACAATCGAATGAAATTTTACAAATGAAGTATTTATTGTATGATTCTCAGATTTTATCCGAAATGTTTTGTAATTTCATATTTAAATACATTTTGTTGTTCCCGTCTCTGTTCTCGTTCACAACAGTTGGACATAAAATAAAATTCTGTCGATTAACGCCGCTACAGACCTCAACTCAGCGACGTAGGAAACTTAACAAATCGTAAAGCAAATGATGGAAAATAATACTAACGATAATAAAAAGATAAATATGAAAAGTAGGATTCAAAATGAACAGATTATTTCATCGAAGAGAGAATTGGGAATGACACTTAATGTAAAATTTTGTAGAAGATAACGCATTAGCAAAATTACGCAATGTGACTAAAAACAATAATAATCGTTATGTTTGAAGAGATTACGAAATCACCGAAATCTGAGAACGGAACGAAGACTCAGCGACACAATGACAAGATAAGCAAACTATTGTGATGTGTCCTAGCTCCGCTATCTAGAGGGAGACATCTAGGTTCAGAAGAAAGAAAAATTATTCCACAAGCAGCCAGAGGCACGAACAACAACAAGCCCAACTCGACTGTATATATTAATGAAGCACCTCTTGTGGTGTGTGCTACTAATGTCGACAGATGTAAGTAGTGTGTATTACTAATTGAAAGTAGAATGCCTGGAGGAAGAATCTTGGGAAGATCGAAGAGAGGAGAACGTGAACAGAGAATGATTGGTGTGTAAACAAAAAGAACAATCAAATCTGAGATAATCGAATGGCATTTTAAAAACGAAGTATTTATTGTATGGTTCTCAGATTTTACTAAGAAATTCTGTAATTTTGCATTAAAATACATTTGGTGTTAGTGTTCACTACAATACTTTGATTTGGAAACTCAGTACCATTCATCAGACATTTGTGACCATTAAACAAGAGCTATGAATATAGTTATTCGTAATGAACTTTTGAATGTGTCTTAAATAAGGTTGACAAAGGAACAAATTCAAATTTTTCCAAGAATCTTTAATTTTACGAATGGAAAGTCGAAATATATACGAGAATTCTGTTCTTAATCCATATCAATTTTTAAATTTCCTTATAAAATTTCAATTCTTTTTCCTAAAAAATAATTAGTTAACTTAAGCTTTCATTGATGTTCTTAGTTTAAAATAGAGTAGTATTGGGTTGGTGATTAAATTCAGGAATGAATATCTTAAGGGATCTAATAGAAATTTACATTACAACCTTTTAAATGATTAATGTTTAGACTTATTAAAATCATTGTCATGGTAATTAAACCGACCATTGTTTAGGTGTTCTGTCTTAAACAATCATTTTTATCACTGATGGTATTTTACGTTCTATGTATTTCTGGTTAATACTTTGTATAACGAATTGGAGCCCACAAATGCCCTGTTACGACCGAGAGTGAGAAAAGTCAGCTCTCCCTCTAGAAATGCTCTCACATGGCCACGTCCATACAACCACTGCCAGGGAAGCCCTACTCGTTGCCTTCTCAAGGTGAGGGTGTTGTTTACGAAATTGAGTGGACGAAAAGCGAATGTCCGGTGCTTCAACTGGGTTGATGGACACGGGGGATCCACCTAGGGGAGTTGGAAAACCCTGATCCCAAACTAATGGTGTACATGGGCTCCAGTATCCTAGGGGAACAAATGGAGTATGAACCTATAGTTGGTCACCAGCTACCATGTGACTGCATCTCCTGACGTTGCTCCACTGCTTTGTGGATCAGACCTTTAGGTCGAAGTCTCCAGGTGTGGCTCCCTTAAAAAACCACCTGTTTTTGTTTGGGTACCTGGTCAGTATCCCAGCCCTCACACAAATCGAATGATTTATGTGGCGTATATCCATTTGAAGCCTCCTTGTACTAATATTTATGTGTTTAAATAAATGTAAATAAATAAAATAATAACCTGGAACCCGCTCAACGATCATTCTGTGAAACGTACACTTTAAGCGGTAACAGGATTCTGTCAGTAAAAACTAGTACTACCATAGGGGTTTGCGGAGATTGTTGGATTTCATAATTTTTACTTTAGTGACTCATAAGTGGCTAGTTTTGAGAGGTAATTTCAATAGTTGAAATGCGAAGCTGTGTCCAGTGGAGTTTATCTATGTGAAATGTGAGATATTTAGATACTAACGGGATCAGAAAACAGTTAAGCAACATTACGAATTCATACCATTTAGAAATTGAAATCATTGGGTACTCGTTCATTGGTTTGATGGTTCAACACTCATTGAGAGGCCTGAATTTCATGAGTTCACCCCCCCCCTCCGTGTCTAATCGTAGATAGGTACTTCTAAGGAGAACCAAACTAGAATGAAACATCCATTCCGTAATACATGGTTCTAATAGTATTCTAAATAAGGTTATCTAGCGATGTAAACTATAAATTTCATGGTGTTCGAGAATCGGATCACAAAGTATCCTTTGAAATCATGATTAGATGTCACTATCCCTCAGTATATATATTCATAAGAGGACATGATTGGGGGATTATTTGAATAAAAATCATGAGAATCGATTGATTATATAATATATGTCTTAATGTGTTTGTTGCCTCCTTATATGTCCGTATTCATTCTATGAAAAAAATGCAAATGTCCACAAAAATAATAAAATGATCATTATGACTTTTAATTTTAATATTAATCATGGTAAATAAACTTAATAAGAACGCTATAGAAGCTCATAATGAGTAAGTTATATAAAATCTTTTTTTTTGTTTTGTTTAAGATGTTGCGGTGACTACTATTTTTTTGTTTTTCTTTTATTATTGTTGTTGTTGTTGTTGTTGTAAAGAATAGTTACATCTCTCTTATTGATACCCCTTACAAAATATTGATTTAATTATTGGTTGTCAGAAATGAGAACTAGTTTATTTTATAAATTCAATATCATTAAGATATATGAACTAATTCATTAATGTAGTTCACCTTGACTAAAAGTACAAAACAACAAACAGAACTTCCCAAAATCAAGTCTTTTAGAAAAAAAAGTGATGCATTTTCAACATCCAGAAGTAATAACTATTGTTCATTGTAGAGAATTTATGGAGAGTGTAGTATTTTTACAATTTTAATTACGAGTTAATCTAAACTAGACTACTATTTGACTGCCTGAAAGTATTGGACGACTGTTTCATCCCAATATGGAACTACTCAGTAGTTGATGATGAACATGTGCTTACTAGTGACTAGCTTTAAGATGTAATGCCTGGTGTTCTAATGAGAAGCCGTAATCAGTGGAGTCCAATCTATGCCAGGTATGAGATACTAATCATTCTCAAACAATAGATAAAAGGTTGCGTATGATCATCGATTGATTGAAATCGGACAGTAATACTGTTGGATGCCAGCTCAGTGGTTTAGAGGTTATGTGTACACGCACGAGACTGAAGGTCCTGGGTTTGAGTCCCACGTGTAGGATCGTGGATCTGCATCGCTGAGAAGCTCCATACTAGGATGAAACGGCCGTCTAGTGCTTCTAAGTTTTCAATGGTGATCTAGCTTAAGTTGACTCTTGATTACAACTATTGTATTGTATTATTCAAGCGTTGTACTGAACGTATCCAAACATTGAATATTGTAGGGTTGTATTGTGTTGTATTTTCAAATTCCTATCAAGTAATTTGTTAATTTGTATATAGATTAAGATGAACTTTATTTCGGTACGAATCGATTACTATTTATTATATAACGTTTATTTAATGGAGTCACTTAACAGTTAGATTGACTACATGAAATAATTACAAAACGTTTATCCTTAAAAATTATAAAACAAAATAGTTTTGTGATGAATCAATTCAAGATAATTCTTCTATAATTTTGTTATATCCTGGCAACCATTATGAATGGTAACTTTAGAGAACTATTTATGGACAAATATTATACGTATATTCTTAATGTATAACTATTCAGTAGCTAGATTATGTTTACCTATACTCCTCTTATTACAAGCCTTACTTTGACCTGTGAACTATTATTATACGATTTACAATTACTGAGTTATGCCCAGTCTATTAATTACAACCTCCCATATTCACAACCGCTAAGTCTTGTACATATTCTATTTTCTATTTTATGGTGTGATGTGATCTGTTTGCTTTTTGTATAAAAATACAGTCTGCTTGAAATACATGATTCATATCGCAGGGACTGAGATTGGTGTTCTGGACTTAACGGCCAGGGCTAGGAGGAAAAAGGGCCGATAAGGACTCTTCACTGCTAGTACGGATTTATGCATCATTGGTCCGGTCGATAAGCCACTGTTATCTAATTACAAGTTTCATTACGTGACATACTAAAAGAACACAAGACCACAATTTAAAACAAATATCTATAGGTTTTATTTTATGAAATAAATACTTTTGTAAATGTCATTAGTGATTTTATACCACATGAAACATATTTATCTTTTCTGACTGTCGTTTTTAAGCGGTATACTTTGGTATTTTTTAATCTCTAAGGTAGTGTAACTTTGATATGGACAATTTTTCTAAAAAAATCCAAATTACATGGGGATATCGATTATTTTCCTATAGATTTCTTTTGCTTATTATGTTCTTTGTTTAATATGACTTCAGTCATAATGAAAACGGTCTTGACATTTATTGATGAGGTTTTCGTTCAAACAAAAGTAATCGAGTCTAGTATAATTACTTATTTACTTATGCCTGTTACTCCTCATGGAGGAGCATAGACTGCCCACCGACGGTCATCATCTAACTCTGTCCTGGGTAATGCTTTCAAGTTGTCTCCAGTTGTTATTCATCTTTTTGATGCCTACTTCCAATTCCAGGCGCAATATGTTCCTTGGTATTCCACTTTACCTCTTCCTTTCTGGGTTCCAAGTTAACGCTTCCTTCGCGATGCAGTTTGATGATTTCCACATTGTCTTTTTTATCCATATGGTTCAGAATAACAGATAAAGACTTCATGGACTGACGTCACGTCTTGGTTCGGCTGACCCTAGCTTCTTTCCAAACTACTTATGTAATGTTGTGGTAGGCATCAGTTAGGCATATATAAAATATATTTGGACTTCTACAATTATTAAAGATTTACAACCTTACCAACTGATTTACCATCTTTGTCAAATGTCCTATGATTAACCTCAATGTTTATGACTTGGTCTTTCCACGAACCACGGTCAACGCTTCGAGGACACCTATGACAAGAAGCCTTGAGCCTAGTATGATTTTTTAATTCTTGGTTGGATTTCTGTGAAATATTTTCATTTTCTCAATAATTTTCAGTGGTCCACTTATTTAGAGTTGCTACAAAACATTGAATCCCAAATGTCCATTAAAGATTGGGGTGCAATTGTAGTTGAGATTATGACTAAATACTCAACGGAATTGACGTCATCACCGAAGTGTATTTGAGAAAACTATCTTTCAGACTAATAGAGAAGTCCTATGCTAAGAACAGAATCCAAATAGTAACCGCTTACTGCAGTGTATTTATTAGGAAATTACTAACTAACTTAACGTTGGTATTATTTTAATTTGTAATGTTTTTTTAATTGTTCAGTTGCTGATATTTCGACTGAACTTTGATCGGTCCAGGTTGGAACACGTAGATCCTATGAGGATTGTCTTGATACAGTCATTATGGCATAAGTTTACACGTAGAATACATGGAACATGGTTAGCAGTGAAATCCATATATCCTTATTCCAGTTTAAACTTCATAAAAACCGATTTGTATTTAAAATAATGTTAAATGATCAATTAAAGAAAATGTTGGAAACGTATTATTTAGTAAATTAGGAAATATATTCAAAAGATCTGGTTATGAGCTAAATGATAGCATTAAGATCGATATTTTAGGAACTTTTATCAGCATTTTCTATAACAAGGAAGGATAAATAATTACGTTCGTTACGAATTTGATTAAAAAAGGACAAGTTTCATTATGTTACTCGTCAGCTGGATGTATCCACATCGTTTCGAGACTCAAACCCAGTGCCAAGTACTTCAAACTTCAACGTGTTATCCACTTAACAACTGAGTCCAAATAGTAACTCGCTTGTGTAAAAATGAACTGTGTAAACATTTATATCTTTAGTATAAATAAAAAAACATATTAGGATTTATTCTACACTACTATTTTTATCAGTATGGAAGTTTTGGCCATTGTTTGTGATTTCAATAACATTCAACAATTTTCACAATTCCTATACTAATAATTATCATGCGCTCATTGATAACTAATTTTGAAAAGAAATTTCCAGACTTGTAGTAAAAAGCAGGGACCAATAGTGTTCAACCAGGCATCACAATGGATTGATTAAAATTAAATATGTACACCAGTTTTTGATGAATTAGTGTTTACAAGAAAGTTCGAAAGTCGTAGGTTCGATTCCTGGTTGAGAGGCTACAGATTAATCACAATTAATTGATCACTGAGTGACGATCAATGTCATGCGTGTCTAGTCCCTATTAGTGCAGATCAAATGCTATCGATCATGTTGCAATGTGGCCACCAGTCTGGGTGACTTGACACTGTGGGCACTATATATTGAGATTTAGATGGTGGTTGGAGGTAGTCGACAGGAAACCCTGGACCTGGGTTTCGTGCTACTTGGTACTCGTCAGCAAGGTGTACCTGTTTTCTTGAGGGATCTGGTGCTTCCTGACAAATTCGGTCTCGTGTCCCCCAGCTTCACAGTCAGAGACGTTACCACTGAGCTATCCGAGCCGCGACTGACCTCCTGTAGGACTGAGATGTAATCACAATTGATTGATCACTGGGTGGTGATCAATGTCATGCGTGTCTAGTCCCTATTAGTGCAGATCGAATGCTATCGATCATGTTGCAGTGACACGAGATGAAATCCGCCAGGGAGCACCAATTCCCTCAAGATTACAGGTACATCTTGCTGACGAGTGCCAAGTAGCACAAAACCCAGGTTCAGGGTTTCCTGTCGACTACTTCCAACCACCATCTAACTACTGATGAATCTCATACTAGAACAAAGTAGTTGTTCAGTAATTTTAGACTTTCAATAATACCTAATATTTCTAGTCAAGAGATATTTTATTCACAAAACTCTATAATATAACATTAAAATTTCAACAAAAAAAATTGGCGAAACCTTGTTACTACTAGTCCATAACCATATGACCTACATACTTTTAATAATAATAAATTCAATTCAATATTATTTTATTCATTATTTATTATCACAATAATATTCACAATCAACATTGTTTCTAACATAAAATATTATCGATCCGAAAAAATACTGTTTCAGATCAACCATTTGATAACACATAGTTTTATATATAAAAAACAAACAAACAAGCAAACATTGTACGTTCAACAACGAATTTCAGTCATGATGTAATCTTAGTTGTAATTTATGTGCTTAATTCAGTTATATTCGTTATTTAAAGTGTCTTTTAGAATTCTAGGTGCGTCGTTTATGTAGTTATTATACATAAACTTTTAAAATAATTGTATTCAATAATTCATTTTTGTATTGGTTGTGTTGAATTTTCCCACTGACGTTTAAGATTGTAAAATTGATCAGTCTCTTAATGGCCGGTCGGACAATATTATTCTACATCTTGTATGGATTGCTTCGATATTACCTTAGGTCAAAAATATTACAAGTAAAGATAGATGGTGGTTAGTAGTGAAATCCAGGATATGAGTTTCATCGTAACGCAATGACGTTAGGAGAGAATGG